CAAAAATACCAGCATGAATCTAAAAAGAGAACGAATGACTATGATGAAAGAGCCTCCTCCTGAGGTAAGCAATCAACCGACGATTCAAAGCTGGGCATAAAGTCGGGTATGCAAAACTCGGGATAGGTTCGGTTCCCGCTCGGTAACGACAAGACCAGCTGAAAATAAGGAGTAAATCATCATGGGAGCAAGCTCGTTGGATACCCCGCATAAGCTGCAACAAGATTCATCTAAGACCTATCAAGATTATGAGATATAGCCGAGGTTACAAACCAACCAGGAAGACGAGACACGAGCCTTGTAAGTTTCGGGCCGAACGAAAAGTGAGCCATGACTTACTCAACGAAAAAAGCTGATCGATCACGTTCGATCGACCAACACCGTGTTTGGACAAAACAATCACCTCACAACTAACAACTCTGATGGGCCATGTCGAAAGACACTGAGCCAGATCGCCATGCGGCTGGACAAAGCAATCACCTCAAAGGGCACTTTAGAAAGCACAAATGTCACTTGGTCGATCGTCTCAGTTCGATGACTTCTAGCTAGCCGACCATCCAATTACGGCCAATGTTGAAATTGAAATTGTAATGCAAATATGACAAAAAATATATACAATCAATTACAGCCTTAATGATATTAAAAATAATTTTTATAATCGTTCACTTCTTTCTGTAATTGTATAAAATACACATCTATAAGTAATGGGAAAAAATACGAAAAAAATAACACTCCCTCTTTTCTCCCTACAAAAAATTCTATACTTATTCTGCTATCTCTTCCTACTCTCCTTCAGTCAGCTCAAACTTGCAGGGCACGTTCAAAGGTGGTGAGGTTAGCATGGACAAGGCACAAACAAAAAGCTGAGCAAACTATGAAAGAGAAACTTCTCAAAGAGAGATAGCATGCATGGAACCCAATAGAGACGTTACACAACCAGATGTTTGATTGACACCACAAGATTGTCCCGCTGATAGAAAAGAGAGAAGGTCATGATTTTGGTTATGAAATTTGACATTACTTGTGCCGAAATAACCCTGTAGATGTTGAATATACTCTGGAGCTCATTGCACAGAGGCAATCAGAGGCCATATTTAAACTAGTCTCGATAGAAGACTAGGTCTTTCACAGAGGATTTGTCCCTCATGTCAATCCATGTAGCTTCTGAAGACCTATGCTTTCGCCAAGAACATACCTTCGCTGTAGCTCATTCACTTCGTTCCCTGTTAGAGATGAAGTTTCAGTGCCCTTTACAGAGCCGAACAAGACTGGCTAATGTTTGATGGCCATCTCGAGAAACAAGAGCATAACCAACTAAAGGACGAGAGGATAAGAGAAAATTGAAAGAAAATGAAGGAACTAAAGGATCGTAAAGTGAAAATAAATGACCATTTCTCCTATTAATAAGGCAGGAGCGTCAGACAAAACATCACATAATGATATGTATCACTCCAATTGTCTTTTCAAAATTCATTGAAATGTCATTTTATTAAAAATACCATTGTTACTGACCTCAAACAAAGTGTTTTATAAAAGGGTCATCCAAGACATCGGAGGGGACATGCCCCCTCAACTTTCAGAGAACCATCTCTCCTCCTAAGCTAATATGATACACCCGATCAGCTTCCCGGTTGAACTTCACAAATCAGATATCTCTTGGAGTACCTCCAGCTCGCGCAACACCTTGTTTAGCCCGCCTCGGAGAGAGAAGTGCTCCATCTGCAGAACCACTACTTCAACATTCATGCGAGGAGACAATTCATGCACAAAATCCGTAGCCTGACCTCAGCAAGTCCCTCAAAAGGGCCGGTCAGCCCCGGTAATGGTCTGGTCTCACCTTCCCACCAATCTATGATCTCAGAGGAAGTGCTCGCCCCGACGATATCCCTAGCCAGAGATATATCACAGATGATGGGTCGGGCAATTAAAGAATTACCAGGGTAGATAGTGACGAAAGCCACACATCTCCAGGCTTCATAACGACCCCTGTGATATGGGCAAACTCCGCAGCATTCTTCGAAAACTTGTCGTCCTGACATTCCTCTGACCTGTCTAATTCATACATAAATCTATCCATGGAGGAAACATTCTTAAAGGCCTCCTCTCCCTCCAGCGTCAAGGCACCACCGCTTTCCGACGACAGCGACTGTGTGAGAATCGTGATAGCAACTCCTTGTCACTAGTCTTGGTCGAAAGGGCTTGTTGGCCCTCAACACACACACACACACCAAACTAGACTCCAAGACCTCTCGGTGAGGCCTCTTCAGCGACTGACCTTCCGCATCGCGAGACAAGTCGATTGGGTTAGATTCGAGCCTCGCCCTTTTTTCATTGATCACAACTTTCTTCTTCTTTACAAAAGAGAGAATATGAAACCCCGCCCTCGCAAGCCTCTCAAGATCCACGATGATCAGATTCGATTTATTGGTCATAACGTACCTCAGTTGTAAAAAGAGAAACTAACGACAAAATGACATAAGGCTCATTTCAAGTCAATTTATAGAGCACACGGGGCACAAAGTCCTAGGAAAGTCATGTATTCAATCAATCACAAATTTATTGTTCACTATTGTTTAATAATTTTACTGTCCTTATTATAGTTGTCGCTATCAAGTAGAAGGGAAACTCGAGGAGCTAATATGTACACACCAATGTACATGTACGAATCTCTAAGAGAAGAAAGACCAGGATGGTTGTCTCTTGGATCATGTGCCTTTTGCTCTTTCATCCAACCGTGCTTTCATTCGGTTCAACCCAGGTTTCGACGAAAGGAAAACGAAGGTTGGTGTGTTCTTTTTTTGATATACAATCACAATCTCGTTAGTATGAAAACATATATTTCACTTTAAAATAATTTATAAAAAGGGCATCTATGTATCCTATGCATTTACATATTTAATGCCCAAGTTTTATTTGATTTTATTTAAACCACTTAAATCTTTTCTATCACATCTAAAATACCATCATTTTAACATAAAAAAAAAGATATAAACGCTTTCATAAATAAGTAGAAATTAAAGTTTAGCTATTAGATGTGTAAATACATTGGAACTGAGTGGCGGTATGTAAATCATTTTTATATTAATGATATTTAATATGATGTTAATAATTTAAGTGTTATATAAATGAATATTAAAGTTTAATTGTTAAATGTATAAATATATAAGAATTATGCACTAATGTATGTAAATCTCTTAAATTAATAAAGATCTAGTAGTAATTATTTTGACTATGTTCAACCTTTTTATTATTTTAAATATGATTGAAGTTTTAAGTATAACCAGTGTAAAAATATAAATATTAAATATATATTTTTTATATTAAAGAAAAGCAAAATTGGTTTTTATTTGCTAAATCTATTAAATTAACTTATATAATTATAAGCACATGATTCATAAATTTAATATTTTCATTGAAAATAAATAAATGTCAAGTAATCTAAAAAAAAAAAGTTTTTTTTTTTAAAATTTCATAGAATGTTACAAAAATTAAGTAATTTCAATATAATTAATTTTTAATTTAGAAACAAAATAAGCTTCTAAAATTATTTAAATGAAGTACTTTCACTTTATGTAGTGTTACTTTGCACTTTTTTATGATGCTTCTAAATAGTCATTAAATGTATTGGGTAATTAATTTTTTATTTTAAATTCTTAACGAATAATATTACAAGTAAAAACAATATTTTAAATTATTTTTATTAACAAACTACTTTTATTTCATTTTTAAAATAAAATAATTTAATTAATACATAGCACTTACTAGAGAGAGATAGTGGCGAGACTTTCTTCACTCTCCTAATCATTCTTTTCCTTGAAAAAATATTACCTCAAGATTACTGATGCATCAGTACTCCAACGAGGAGGTGTCACGTATATAATGGTCCCACCATAATATCACGTGACACCTCCCTATTGGAGTACTGATGCATCAGTACTCCTTCCTTAAGTAATATCTTTTCCTTTTCCTTGCTCTTCTAATGTAATAGAAGAAATCACAGATTTCTTATGAATTTACATGCCTAATTCCTATACATACATATGCATGAAAAAATATATTTCACTATATAAGAATAAATAAGAGTCATATTTTTAATGTGGTGTTAAAGATTTCAGTTTTCTATAAATGTTGGTTTGGGTTTTAGATATGTAAATAGATAAGATTTATGTGCTATAGATGTATACTCCTTAAAAAATATTTGGAAAATTCCATTAAATCTTTATAATATTTTAAAAAATGTGCACTATAGTTTTGAGGAACTATAGTTTTGAGGAGAGAGGGAGCCTTATCCAGCAACTTCTTCCTCACCATCTAACAACCAACTTTTTTAGTAAAAAACATAAAAGATTGGCAGATCATTAAACCCAAAATATAGCAAACTCATTACTCAGATGTCATTAGGGGTGTAAACGAGCCGAACACGAGCTGAGCCTGGATTCGTTTATATTTCGAGCTCAAAAAGTGTGTTCATGTTCGGTTCGTTTGCTTAGCGAGCCGAACACAAGTCGTTCACGAACAAATAGAGTCATTTTGCCAATCCTAATCATGTAGCCATAAGATGTAAAGGATTAGGGCAAGATTTAAAAATTATTCTTTATATTAAAACATCATATGAATCTAATTTAATAATTTATATTTTATTTTCTTAATTAATACTTTTAATTGATAATAAATCTTTGTAGCCTTTTAGTCAATTAAATTATATATATATATAATTGATTAGGAGTATTTCGAGCCAAAACGAGTCGAACACGAATGAATAAATCTTTATTCGTGTTGTTCGTGTTCGGCTCATCAACTTAGCGAACTCTTAATGAGCCAAACACGAGCTGCTCGCGAACAATGAGCTGTTTTTGTTTTGACAGCCCTACATGTCATTCTAACATATGAATATTGACAATATACAATATGAAATAAATTTTATTTAATTTTCTAAGAAGAAATGGAAGGCATATGTCACATATCTAAAAAAAAAAAAAAAATGCATATATAGACATGAAGCACACAAGGAGCTGACATAACAAAGTTTTTTAGTAAACAATTTAAATAATAAAATTTTTATAAATGTAAATCTTAGAAATGATACATCTATCTCAGGAAATAATGAATAAGAGTCATACTTTGTTTGATCCTGCCAGCACGGTTTGATTCGGTGGCAGATGGCAATGGCAAAAAATCTGCATGCATGTAAAAAAAGAGAAATAAATTGAAAAATTATGCCTGACTAAGAAAAACATTAGATGGTAGAATGATGCAGTTCAAATTTATAACAAAGTCTTAAAAATCCAAAATAATTGTCTCTTCCCTTCTATTACAGGCTAATGGCTTCTGATGGGGTTTCCCACTTCTTATTAACCTATGCCTCAAATTCCCTCCAAAACAATTAATGAATGACATCATGCTACAATAGAAATGAACAAAATTAAAACCATTGGAAAACTTATCATTGAATAGGACACCTAAATTTTGTTTTTTTTATATTTATATCGCTCGAATCTTTCATATAACAGCTAAAAAATCATTATTTTAACTTTTAAAAAGTAAAATACAGTTTTTCATGCACATAAAAGGCGGCACATATGTAAAAAATTTAAGTGTTGGATACGTAAATACATAAAACTTGAGTGATATGTATGGCAATAATGATGTGTTGTCTAGCCATTCTATAACCAAAAAGACATGTATTAAGAGGTTTATATGAGAAGAGCAAATCACTTCATACAACACTCTGTAAACTAATCACATCAAGTTGATATAACAAAGAGCTTGGCGCTAGACAATATAATAGGATTAATGTATCAATAGCATCCATAAAAAAATGTGGACAGATGGGAATAGAAATGTTGGCACACTGTCACACTCCCCCATCTTCAAGAATAATTAAAAAGCTAATCATGAGAAATGAAGATTCTAGAGATGACCAGAATGCAGAGAACAATCCAAGGGACTCTAAAAGATTCCACGGTATTCTAGAAAAAACTAGAAAGAAGGCGAAGGTTCCAAGGAATTCTAAAAGGTTCCACATAATTCTAGAAATATGCTGAAAGAAGCAAGCTTCAAGAGAACTCTGGAATATTCTGAAAAATTCTAGAAGCATGTATATGTAAAGAATAATGTAGAACTATCCATAATATAGTATGTTTTAATGTAATCTAGAAGGTTCCCTTAGACTTGGGGAGGACTATATGCAAAAGTCCCTTCCCTTCATTTGTATTCATCCAAGAACCATCCAAGATTCCCAAGCATTCAAGTGTTATAATCACTTTTTCTTAGTAAAGTGTTCTTTTCTTCAATACTCCTCCCTACTCGTCTTCCTAGAGTGTTTTGTGCTAACAATTTCAAGCGTTATGAGGGTTAAGTTGATCTAGTGCCAAGGAGGAGTGCTAAAGCCACAAGGGTCACTTGAGATAAGTTAGCCCGTGACAGTTAGTATCAGAGTCCAAATTTCGAAGTTATGGCAAAGAGAGACAGAGAGCACATAATAAAGTCTGAAGCCAATAATATGGAATCATGTCAACAAGGGAGAGGTCAAGATCAATAAGAACCAGCTGAATCCAAAACCACATGGGCGGTTCAAGGAGATCATGCACAGCTTTGATTCGCGTCTCGCTCGGGTGGAGGTAATGAATGGCATGAGAGCCCATATATAGGATCTTGGTCAAAAGGTTGAAGGACTCGAGGAAGAGGACACACAATCCATTCGACGATCAGAGGCATGATGCTCCAACTGGAGGACTCCTTAAGAGACCAAATGACTCTGATGCGGGAGGACTTGAAGAGGGAGCTCTAGGAGGTATGAAGAGCCCATGAAGATGAGATGTGCGACATACATGCTAGTTTGGAGATATGTGGAGATATTTCGCTATGCAAGAGAGCACCAACAACATCCACCAACAATCATACTTTCGAAGCCAAACACATCAAAGTACCAAAACCTAAGACTTTTGGGGGAGCTCGCAATGCAAAGTAGACAACTTACTATGGGGGAGTCAACCAATACTTCGGAGCTATGGGGATTACATATGATGTAAGAATTCAATTTGCAACTCTTTATTTCTCAAACATTGCTATGTTGTGGTGGAGAATAAATGATGAAATATGCACCATATCCACCTTTGATGATTTCAAAAAAGAGTTAAAGGGGCAATTTTATTCCGAATATGCAGAGGATGAGGCTAGAGCTCGATTGTAAAGGCTCAAACAAGAGGGATCGATTTAGAAATATATTAGAGGGTTCACAAGCTTGGTTATTGAAATTCCTAACATGTCCGACAAGGATATTTTTTTTTAACTTCATGGATGGACTCCAACAGTGGGCAAAGACTGAGCTTAGGAAGTGCAGAGTGCAAGATTTTATCGCTGTCATCGCAATCACCGAAAGTCTGATTAACTATGCAAACAAGTCTACAAAGCCAAGGGATGAGAAGAACGTTGATGTCAAAGATGATAGAGATAAGGGCCAACACAAAAAAGAGACTAGCTATGAATCATCCTCATCCAAGTGTAAAGATAAGGGAAAGCAAAAAAATAATAAAATCAAGTCACAAAATAATTGTTTTTTTTTGTGATGGGCCACATTGGGCAAGGAATTATCCTCAGAAGAAGGCTATAAACTCTCTCCTTGCAAGTCATCAGAAGGAAGAAGGTGGTGATACAACGACACAAGTAGGGTTTATACAACTCTTGAATGCAATGTAAGCTCCAACTAAACTCCAAGCAAAGTGGTTACTTTTTATGGAGATGGTAATAGGCGTGAAGACCACTATAGCAATGGTGGACAAGGGTGTTTCTCACAACTTCATCTCCGCCGAAGAAGCAAAAACAAATGACAGAAGAAGGAGGCTCTATCAAGGTATTCAATTTAGCAGTAAGACCAATCCATGGAATTGCCAGAAGAGTAAAGCCCAATATTGAGTGTGGTTAGGTACCTTAGACTTCTCAGTTATTCCAATAGATGATTTTAAAGTTGTTTAAGAGATAAACTTCTTGGATCAAGCAAGAACATTCCCAATCCCTTTTGCCAATAGCATGTGCATTATGGAGGGCAACCAAACTTGCTTAGTACCAATAACATGAACTAGCAAGTAAGAAGCCAAAACACTATCGGCCATTCAATTCAGGAAGGACATCTGACGAGATAAGGAAAGTTAATTGGCTATTCTCCATGACTCCAATGAAGAAGGAAAACCCCAAGAAGACATGACAAGGAAAGTGATGGCAGTGCTTGAGTAATATAAAAGTGTTTCACCACCAGAATTACCAAATGAACTACTACCACCAAAGAGGAAGATAGATCAGTAGACCGAGCTGGAACCAGGAACTAAGCCGCTAGCCATGAAACCTTGTTGCATGGTACCCTCTCACCTACAACCAAGTATGAGAGAGAAAGCCCAACCTTCTTCAAATTCACCAAATCCTAGAACAAGCAAAAGGAGAGCTCGAGTCACATTACATATGACTTCGAGAAGAATGAAGAAGTAGACGGCCAAGAAAATGAGACATGAAGACACATGAAAAAAGAAAAAAAAACTAACAGTATCAAGTGGATTCCGCAATGAGAGCATTGCGAGCTTAAGTGGGGGAGAGTGTCACCACCATCTTCAAGAATATCTTCAAGAATAATTGACAAGCTAACCATAAGAAAAAAATATTCTAGAGAAAACCGGAATGTAGAGAGCAATCCAAGAGACTCTAGAAGATTCCAAGGCATTCTAGAAAAAAAATAGAAAGAAGAAGGTTTCAAGGAATTCTAGAAGGTTTCACATAATTCTAGAAATATGTTGAAAGAATCAAGTTTCAAGAGAACTCTAGAATATTCTGGAAAATTCTAGAAGCATGTATATGTAAAGAATAATGTAGAACTATCTGGAAGACAGTATATTCTAATGTAGCTTAGAACGTGCCCTTAGGCTTGGGGAGGACAATAAATAGAAGTCCCTCCCCCTCATTTGTATTCATCCAAGCACCATCTAAGGTTCTCAAGCATTCAAGAATTATAATCACTATTTCTTAGTGAAATGCTTCTTTCTCAAATACTTTTCTCTACTCTTTTCCTAGAGTGTTTTGTGCTTACAAGTCTAAGTGTTGTGAGAGTTAAGTTGATTTAGTGCCAAGGAGTGCTAGAGCCACACGGGTGACTTGAGATAAGTTAATCCGTGACAAGACGCTGAGAAAGGAGAAAAGGATAGGATTTGGACATTTTCTCTTCCCAAATAATCTCTAATCTTGGGCAAAAGCCAAAGTCTGGATTCGAAAAAGGCCGACCAGCTAGACTAACAGAAAACTGAATTCATCTTTTAGAGTAAGAATGAAGAAATGGTGAGTATGAGGCTGTTTAATTAGCTGGAAATGAATACAGTGTATTTGAATTAGTTCGAAGTTGTTTGATTTAGCGTAAAGTAAATGCATGAATTTGTATTTTTGTGCATTGTTTGAAAAAAAAATGAAATCACTGTAAAATATACTCGGTGATAGCGACAATAGCAGCAACAGCGACCAGTGGTTGTGACCCCTGTGGCGGGTAGTGGCAGGCAGCCTGCGGTGGCAGTAAGGGCAGGTGATGGACGCAGTGAAAATAGGCTACAGTTTATAGTGTATCTGAAATAACCTAAATCTAATGAATTCTGAATGCACAAGGTTTGAATTGCAAGGTGAATTTCTTTATCAATATTTTACACTGCATTCCATTTTCATCCAATCAAACGTCAGAGTTTAGAAACTCCTGAATTTGATGAACTTACACCGCTAATGCATGGAACCAAAAAACCCCGGTATAGATATAAAATAGCTCTTAAAATGGAATCATCAAAAAGAATTTCTTTAAAGATCACTGTTAAATAGAGGAAATGTTTCAGCTGTTGATAATCAAGAAAAATCTCCAAAAAACATTAACTGCAATTGAGATTTAACCAAAGTAAACAAAGGGCTAAAGAAAAAACTATTTTACCATTTATCCACAATCGCTTCACCATTTGTACTGTGAAGACTACCATTACTATTTTCGGACGAAGATACTGGCAAATCCTGGTTTCCGTGGTACAATAGCTGCGAGAAACCTTGCCCGATAGATCTCCATAATCTAGATGGCAACGAAGATTGGAGATTCGAAGGATTTTCATCCGAAGGGAGCTCATAGAGCGAAGCCGAATCTGGATTAAGCTCCGAAAACCTCACCGCTCCAAGAATTCTTTCAGGTAGCTCTGACACGGTTTGGCTTTCAATGAGAAACGCTAAATCAACCGTTAATGTTCTGATGTAGCCAAACGCTAAGTGAACGATTGCGTTGGCGACGACGGAAACTCCGATGTCCACATCAACTTCGATAAAATTTGGTCCGCGAAAATACTTACAGGAAACAGCTCGCCCGAGAATACAAATCGCCTGATCACCAACAGCAGTTTTAACAATCCAAGGTCCCTTCACGATATTGGCAATCAATTTTAGCCGCGAGTTTCGAAATGTATCGTCGCCGTTAACGAATATGTCCATTAAAGATCCATCTTGGATGGGTTCAGTGGCGATGAAGTATGCGATAGCACTGTAGTTATCCTTGCTTGGGAGCTGAAGATTGAAAGCCCAAACAAAAGGATTGGAGCCGCTGCTAACAGCTTTGTTGATAGCTTTTGTCACTCGATGGTGTGGATGGTTCAAAACCTCGCAAATTTTTTTGGGACCTTTGATCCAATCGAATCCAAGAGGTTTTAAGAGGAATTCACCGGCGGGAATTTTCTCTTTGCTTTGGAGATAATCGGGACCTCTTACCATGAATTTATCCCCAGGAGGAGTAGCCCAACCATATGGGCAGTTTTCTGGATCTAAAAGTGTAACTGAACCACCAGATTTAAGTTCATTTATCCAGGCATCTGCCTCGCTGTCAAGACTGGCCATCTGAACAACAAGACACCAAGATTCCTGCACAATGAGAGCCAAATAAATAAGCACCGTGGGCATAACTGTAATTACTAGTTTGTAGTATGAAAGGAGAAAAGTGTCAAAAGAGTCCTAACTCTTTGCATAGATTCATTTTAGTCATAAATTCTATCAAAATATAAATTTTATTCCCGGACTCTTTTAATATAGACTTCATGGAGAGCTATTTTGACCGCAATTTGAGAAGTTTGAGGACTAATTTGATACTTTTATAAACTCAGGGATGTAAACAATCAGGGGACTATTTTGACAATTTACACATTTTGAAAATGCCATATCAAAGACATTGAAGTTCATTCAGGCAAACAAATTTGATCAAAACTAAGAACGTTTGCCCATCAAACTGAAAAGTAAAAAAGATGAACTGGCTTACACTATAAACAGGAAATAAAATGAACAAATAAGACCAATCCTAAGAATTAGAAATTAGGCAGCCAATCGACAGTAACAGAAATAATCAAAAGTAAGCATTTGCAAGTAAAAGAAATATTAAATTCCCAACTTGCACTTATACCATCTACTAATGAGATTGAAGGACAGTTGATTGGGATTTTTATGCTTTACAGTTTAAACTATTCTTATTTAATTTGGTGGTTTCCCCGGAATGATTGCGGTTTGGGGATGCTATTCTTGCAACTCCTAGAGATGTTTTCGGTTTTCAATACATTTTCATTTGGGGCATTAAGATTCATATCACACAATTCGTATGTATTTACATATCTTGTACCTAAATATTCATATCTACATGCATACCACTCAAATCTTTAAAAGCGCATAAAAAATACCACCATCACCATCTTTTTAAAAGTAAAACACACCTATTCATGCATAGGTTTATGACACCAAGATGCTTATAAGTGTACCTAACAAATCTTGGGTGTTACATATGCAAATACATAAGAATTATGTGGTATGTAAGTGAATTATCCATATATTTTTAAACACTTACGGGTATAAAAACACTAGCATAACACACACCCGACTGCCTTTCACCAATCCTATGAATTACTATTATTGTTTATTGTGTGCTGTTGCGACTTCTAGATCCATCTTCAGCTATTGTGTTATGGATTTGAGATTTATCAATTTTTATGATCCGAGAATCTCTTGGCTTCTTAAAATTTTAATTATTTTAAAAATTTAAAAGATGCCTAATGAGTTGAGAAAGAAACTATTGGTTCCTACTTATAAGAATAAAGGAGATGCATAAGAGTGTGCAAATTATAGAGCAATTAATTTAATGTGTGATACATTAAAATTATGAGAGAAATTAATTGAACATAGGCTATGATGTGATACAAAAAGTTCTCAAATTGAGAGGTTTGATGGAAAAATATAGAGAATACGGAGGATCTACAAATGATTTTTATAAAAAAAAAAAACTTATGACAAAGTTCCAAGAAGTACTTTGGAGAATTCTAGAAAAAAAAAATAGTGATATTACTTATATTCAAGGCATTAAAGAAATGTATACTATAGCTTTTACTTTTGTTCGAACACAAGGAGGATTAACCAAGTACTTTCCTATTTCAGTTGGATACATCAGGGATTGGTTTTAAGCTCACATCTTCTTGCTTTAGTTACAGATGTTTTTACCGGGCATTTGCAAGAGGTTGTACCATGATGTATGTTTTTCGCTGATGATATACTTCTTATGGAAAATACTAGAGAATTTAGAAAAAACTTGAATTATGGATGTCAACTTTAGAGTCTAAAGGATTTCGTTTGAGTAGACCTGGAACTTATAATATTGAATGTAATTTTAGTAAAAGTAAATCTAATGATAGGGTTGTAATAATGAGTGATTAAGTCAATAAAAGAAATAAACATTTTAGATGCCTTAGTTCTATTGCTCAAAGTAATTGTGACATAAATGAGGATGTATTAGTAGAATTCTAAACTCGAATTATGGATGTTAACTTTAGAGTCTAAAGAATTTCGTTTGAGTAGACCTAGGACTTATAATATTGAATGTAATTTTAGTAAAAGTAGAACTAATGATAGGGTTGTAATAATGGGTGATTAAGTCATTAAAATGAGTGAGCGTTTTAGATGCCTTAGTTCTATTGCTCAAAGTAATTGTGACATAAATGAGGATGTATTAGTAGAATTCAAGTTGGATCGTTGAAGTGAAGGAATAAATCGGGCCTATTATGTGATAGAAAATTACCTTTTAGACTCCAAAGAAATGTTAATAAGCATGTGTTGACCTCACTTTTGGTTGAGGTCTAGAAAACTTCTTTAGTAGCCTAGGTCTAGCCATAGGACTTTCCTATTGACTAGTCTTAAAAAATTAGAAGAGGTATCTCACTATTAGAAATTCAAAGCCTTTCTCTTTGCTCAACTTGAAGTTTCACATATTGATCTTAACCTCTAGCATTTAGTAGGTAAGATCATTATAAGAGAATTCAAGAAGAGTCCCTATAGGATTACTTGGCTTTAGAATTGACCCTGGGTGTTGACTTGGAACTAGGATACACCATATCTTCA